ACTAAACCACGTCCCCAGCTTTACCCTCACTTTATAGAAGAGAACCTGAAGCACCAGAGGTGAGGTGTGTGTAAGGTCACACTACCAGATACAGCCAAGATGTGAACACCAAGCAGGTTAGCTACAGAACACCACATTCTTATTCCCTACACCATGCTGTAAATATAGGCAAGCATAAGGTCTTATGCTTAGCAAATGAAGTTTGTTCTTTGTTACCAAATTTTGGGTAATAAGCAAGAAGCTCTATCAGAATAAAACAATTAGTTCATGTCACCAAGAATAGAGAAAACAGCATCGAAAAATTTTGCAATTTCCTGAAAAAATCTTTAAAAAGGAAGTCACTATTAAAAATAACATAAGAAAGTGTTTAATTTCCAATAATAGACAATGCATTAAAACTACTGTATCTAACTTTAAGATCCTATCTACTTTCTCTTGAAATAGTTGAAGATGATCTTTTTCTCCCAATTTAAACTGGAGGATGTAGCATAGATTAATGTTATATACCTTAGCAATGAATGAAAAGTCACAGAAATACATAAAGCTAAAGCTAATGAGAATCCCCTAGATGGAAAAGGGTTATATGTTGGTATTTAGGCTTTCCATTTAAAGTGTTTCTCAAGTAATTTAAAAACTCTCCCTTGAATTTAGGCCACTGTAAGAAATGTTAGAGCTCAAATTTTAATTGTGTGTTCAGACTACATCATACTGCCACACTACTCAAAGGACTTATGCTCATGAAATGCAAAGTTAGTTTAATACAATTTAAAAAATACTTTAGAATGAAAATATATCACCACAAAAATCGTGGATTCATTGCATCATTAGGGATTATTACTACAGAAGAGTAAAAAGTTTCTGTTTAATATTATCAACAGAAATTCAGTATCATTCTATTTGAACTTTAATTCTTCCAAAGACAATCCTATTGAATTTTTAAGTATCTACCTGATTTTGTATTAGTTTACAAATTAAAAACTTGTATCCAACAAAGACTGGTAAATAAATTATTACAAAAGCACAGAAAATACTACATAGTTATTAAAGTAATGATGATTTAGAGAAATACACAAAAATAGGTTGACGAAAATATGTTAAATGACCAGAACAGTCTATACTACGGTGGATCCATTCTAAGCTTATAACATTGTCTGTTAGTACACACGTTTAATATATAGTAAAGGCTGAAGAGAATACAGGAAAAAAATATTCCAGGAGACTAAAATTGGGTTCTCTTGGTGGGTTTCCAGTATTTTTTAAATTGAATCTATACTTTTTTAGTGTTTCCTAACTTTTCTACAGTGAGATATGTTATTTTTATAGTTGAAGAAAGGAGATTAAGAAAAAAAGGAAAGTTATCTATTTACATTAAACCACATTTTAATACAAATGATAAATTCTAAGATGGGCAAATGGTTTAACTTTTGTGCTTTTTTTAGTACATAAACTCAACATGAACCAACAGATACTTTTTTCACTATGATGACAATTAAAAAGTTTGAGTTCCTGATTAAATATAAATTCTCTGAAAAAGAAGGAAATATTTGTCTTACTATTTGACCTTAGTATAAAAATAAAGTGTTTCTGAAAAACAGTGATAGCCAAAAGAACATATTATAAAAATCTAAATTCATAAAAATCCCCTTTTTAAAAGTCTTAGAAGTCTCTTTGTTGCCATATGATATTTAAAATAAAAAGCAGAATTACTTCTTTGTGAAATACACAACTAAAGTAATAACTCAGAGTTCAAACTGTATTTTTGAGAATGAGTTTAGGTAATTTAACATTTGCATAATCAAAAACTTGTGAAAAACAAATTTTAATCCCTGTTTAATTCCACTTAATTCATGGAAATGACACATAATAGGGCTATTAAATCGTTGTATAGCAACCTGTAAATATAAATGCTATTCTATAATTAAACAGTCAATTAGTAAGAATTAAATTACCCTAATATTTAAGCACTCGATGTAATTTGTATACTCCATTCAAAATTTGACTCAGGGAAGGAGACAATATAATGTCCAGAGGTATAATGCCTGTAAGAAACTACATTTAAAAATTTATTTGACTTTATGCATCTGCAAAGAACTACATGGACACAGACAAAGAAAAAAGCTTTGGCTTTTTTTTTGGAACTTTGAATGATTTCCTCCCCACAATGTTGTTGTTTTGTTAAAATTTTCACAGGAAATAAACATTTGACACAGCACCAGAAATAAAAAAGTGAGGGAGAGGTGACATTAAATACAAGTTTTGTGAGATGAATGGGATAGGAACAGATCACTCTATCCGAATACTGCCTGACAGAGCTGATGATGGACAACAGTTAGCTGGTTAATTTCCCAGTTTAATAATTCTAAAATCTGAAGATCACAGACACTACAGCATAATTATGAAATAAAGTAGAAAATGGCTCTTTCCAGTGGGAAAGCTTAAAAACATTAAAATAGCCACCAGTTTCAGTTACCTGCTGTAAGGATGCAACTTCACTCCTTAATATTAAGAGTTAAACCTAAGCTTTCTAAGTTGGCTTTGTTCTTTCCTAATAAAAGGTTCAGACACTGCCATATTTCTCTTAAAACTTCACTCACAAAACACAGAAAATAAAAAGCTGGAAATAGTCTCATACTTAAATACATTATTTTTTTCTAAAATTGGTCTTTTCTTATCTTGATGATAATTACAATGAACACACTGTTCTTTGAACCATATTAAACTCAAACTCATTAAACTCAATGTACTGCAGAATCAACTGTACTGCATCTGTGTATCCCACATAGTGGTAAATACTCTCAACACTTTACACTTTCTGCACTCTGTCACCTAAAAAGAACAGACTTGAAAACGCTTTGTAGTTTGGTTCTGAAACCAAAACAACGAAAGGCCCCTTCGGACTCTCAGATAGGTAAGGTCTGGGGAGAAGGAAGATGCACATCGCCCTCCACACCAGTGGGCAATAAAGAATAAGCCAAAGCAAAGGGCTCCTCCTCCCCTGAAACCAAACACCCAATAACTTGGGTTCCAAAGACTCCTAGAGAAAAGTCATGGAAACAAAATTTTCACGCTCACTTCAATCTATACCAGACAAACATCACTTTGGCCTCCCTACAAACTACAAATAGCTTCACACTAACTGGGCCCCTCACTACAAAAAAAATAAACGTGCCCTAAGGTGTACATCACGTTAAACTTTCTAACGCTGTGCAGGTCATTTCTCTGCCCTGTGGGTAGTGAAAAAGGCCAGAATAGAGACAAACTGACAGAGCAATCACAACACAACACGACAAATCAGAGCTCAACACTGAAAAGGACAAAGTATTCGTAAATGCACAGAAAAAGATCTAGAAGGATATACACGAATGTTAAGGAGTTATCTCTGGAGAAGATGTGAGATAGAAGCGGAAATATGCACAAGTTTGCACTTATAAACATACTGTACTGTTTTAATTTTTCATAAATATTTTACTTTTATAATTTTCATAATAACATTTAAAATAAAAATGTGCAATGTGATTTCGTTCGTTAAAAAGATCGAACAGATAGATTTACAGAGTTCAAATGAAAAACAAATATCATTTTGCACTAATTTGACTACTACAAACCTACGTATCAAAGAAGACAAATATCACAGCTTAGGAAATTAAAAAAACAGCACTGGTAGCATTACTAAAAATGTCCCCAACTGTTACCCACTACTATTAACTACTTTGATTATATGTATCAGTCACCAGAGGGACTCTGAGTTTGTCCTTCCTAAAATTTTATCTTCTCTAATAACCTGCCTTTCAATCTTAACCTCATGAAAACGATTAAGCTACCTAAAGTATAATACAATGTTTACATCACAAAAATATTTACTTTTTTGCACCATAAGAGCATAGCCTCTCCATTTCATTTTTCATAAGAAACTACAAGCACACACGTCTGTGCACACATACATACATACACCTGATTTCCTTAAGGGAAAGGAAAGTTTCCTGATCTAAAAAGCACACAAACTAAGTTCACAATTCCAATGGAGCAGTCAAACTTTGAAGCCAATAGAAATAAAATTTTGTACAACTGTAAGTACTGAAAAAAAGATAAAGAGGGGACACAAACTATACTCTGAAAGCAGCATAATCCAACCATTATGCTAACTTTATATAACATCATTAAATATTTTAGCTAGGCAAACATACATCTTTAAGAATTAAATTTGTCCGTGACCTCTGCATCTCATAACTTAAAGAGTATAAATAGCTAAAGTTACCCTAAACTTTGTTGAAATTTTAATACTAAGACAAACCAGTGAGAGGATCAACATTATCATAAATTAGGCAACAAAAACCAGATCAATTGTCTTAAGGATGGATTTTTGTTTAGTTTATTAATTCACAACGTGGGCATAAAACTTAAAAAATACACACAGATGGTGCATCTCATTTCCCAACCTTCCCTCATCAGATTACTTCCCTTTTTCCTTATCAGTTTTCTAGTTTTTACTCCGGGGAGAAGGGAAGACGCACACCACTCTCCGCACTGGGGGTCAGTTAAGAACAAGCCAAAGCCCCTTTCTTATACAAAGATCTTTATACAAAGCCGAGGAAACACAAGTGTATAGTGCTGCACACGCCCGGACACAGAAAACACTACTCACAGTTCCGCACCTTGCTTTTTTCACTTTCACGAATTTGAGATCACTCCAAGTCAGTACCCAGAAACCTTCCTCATTCTTTTTTCCTACCTGATCAGGACTAGTTGCACCCCATTTCAGTCTACCTTCTTGAGACTAACCAACCTCTAATGTCATTCCGTTCAGTCAACTGCTTCACACAACAGTTTCCTTCCATCAACGAGATTTTAAAGCAAACCAGTGTGAGGTGTCCCAAAGAATACCTTCCAGACATCCTCTTAAGACTTATTTTCAAACACGTGGGGGAGGGGAAATAGTCCACAATTTTTGCTTCTGATCACTTAAGGCTACAAATGAGAATGCAACTGACAAGTGTAATTACCTTCACTTTGATTTCGGGTTCAGCACGCTAGCCCAATTAACAACGAGTGCAAGTTTCTTTTACTTCTTGTGCTTTTCCTTTGCTGCAAAAGAGAACATTGTTTTTCTTTCTGACAAGGTTGGCTAGACAGCCTTAAACCATATAAAAACGGCACTCCAACAGTAGGCGACCACAGCACGCGCCGATCTGTCACGCGCCGGGTCAGAGGCCGCGATCCGCCCCGCTCTCGTCGCTCCCCCGACCGCTCCCCGCAGGCCGGCCTCGCCCGCCAAGCGCACCTCCGGAGCACGGAGCCCGGGCGCAGCGCGGGG